GGAGTGGACTTATAAAGGAGGGAGGGGACTTATCAAGGAGGGAGTGGACTTATCAAGGAGGGAGGGGACTTATCAAGGAGGGAGTGGACTTATCAAGGAGGGAGTGGACTTATCAAGGAGGGAGGGGACTTATAAAGGAGGGATGGTACTTATAAAGGATGGAGTGGACTTATCAAGGAGGGAATGGACTTATAAAGGAGGTAGTGGTCTTACAAAGGAGGAAGTGGACTTATAAAGGAGGGAAGAAGATTGATGAGGAGGGGAGATAACTAGTTAGGGCAGGGGTGGGCGTGGGGATGGGGGAGGCAGCAGGGGATTGTTAAGTAGAAATAAAGGCTTAGTGAAGAAGGGAATGAAAACAATGAGGTTGGAGATTATTTTGATAAGGGATGGACTGATGAGAGGTACAGAATTGGTATGGAAGGGTGATGTTTGTGACCAGAAGGTGTATGGATGAGGTCTAGGTGGGGGACAGGTAATCACTGGTAAATTGTCATTACTATCATTATCAAAATGAGAATTCATCAATCAAGTTTTTCTTTCAATAGATTTGTTTATATTATAAGAAATACAGTTATTGAGTGTCAAAATTTACAAACAAAATTTAGGAGTTCATAGTGAGTGAAAACTATGTGCAGATGTATCAAACACGTTAATTCCTTAAAAAGAAGTTTCAGCTGCTGCATGTAAAAACTACAGGATTTACAGACAAAAGGTGTTACATTCACTGACTGTTAGCAAACTGTACTGTGTCAGCAAACAGAGCTGTCTTGTGACTAGTAGCAAAGTTCTGGTTTCGATACAGCAGCACTGTACTGTTACTAGAGCATCAGAAGTGTGCTGTAACTATAGTAGCAGAATTTTGCTGTAACTATAGTAGCAGAATTTTGCTGTAACTATAGTAGCAGAATTTTGCTGTAACTATAGTAACATAATTGTGCTGTAACTATAGTAAAATAATTGTGCTGTAATTATAGTTGCAGAATTGTGCTGTAACTATAGTAGCAGAATTTTGCTGTAACTATAGTAACATATTTGTGCTGTAACTATAGTAAAATAATTGTGCTGTAATTATAGTTGCAGAATTGTGCTGTAACTTTAGTAGCAGAATTGTACTGTAACAAGAGTAAAGTTTATCAGAATTGTGCTGTAACTATAGTAACAGAATTGTGCTGTAACATATTGTAAGTAGATGAAGTGTAAGTTGTGCTGTAACATATACTGTAATTAGTAGATGAATTGATAGTACAGGTAATGATAGTAGCAGGATTTTTTAAAATCAATATTCCTGTAAATTTTCTTCTGTTTTGTACATTGCCCATCCAAATTTAGATAATAGAAATACAAGTTTGTGCTGAAGATATTGTAAGCCAGGATGCCTTGGTCTTGTTTTCAGAAAAGAATTCTTATCTGAAAGAGTCAGTATTTTAAAAACATCTAGGAACTTTTTCCTAACAACTTCAAAATCCATCAATTTTCAGTTTTTCTGTTACTGCTACAAAGCCCCAATATCATTCAGGTACACTTTGCATTTCAATATTGTTGTGTGCAATCCTATGTTGTAATTAACTACTCTTGTAGGTAAATGCATTTTGGACAAATGGGTCTGTATATTCTATTAATGCACATCACTGATGCTTATCTTTCCAATGAAATAATTTATGACTCTCATTACAGAAAATATTTTTTAGCATATACCAAAATGATGTCTTAAGGATTAGAAAAACAAAAAAACTTTAAGGACTGTTAAAATAAATAAAATAGTAGAGGTTTGCCTCGAGTACAAAATCAAAGACAAGGAACTGTTCATCCCAGTGCAGAAAGACATCATATTTGTTAGATGCTCCATGTACATCAAAGGAGGATGGTGATTAGTCAATGGATGCTCCAAGTACAGAAAGGAGGATGGTGATTGGTCAATGGATGCTCCAAGTACAGAAAGAAGGATGGTGATTGGCTGAAATTTGCTCCAATAACAGAAAGAAGATGTTGGTTAGATGTTGGTTAGCGACAACTGTGTGAGTACAGAATGATTATAAAGGGTTAACATGAGGTTTAAGGATCCCTGTACCACTGTCAAAAACTGTAACTATGAATTAGGAACTTCTACTGACATGACAATAGGTAAACGTGACAGGGACCCTTAATACCAACACATGTCACTCATTGTGGTTAGCCGAGGGGTTACACACTTCAACTTTAAGATTACTGACATAAAGTTCAACAAACAATTGGACAAAAGAATTCTCAAAAGATATTTCCCTAACATCTGGTACACAACTGTGACCTCCTTAACATCAAAGAATAGCTCGGGAAAACAAAACGAATATCAAATGATCCCAACGCATTTGTTGGAATTGAGATAAACATTCCATTTAATTAAAAATTAGATTTTTGGTAAAATAAAACGTGTGAAATTTTAAAGATACACTTTGTTTAAATTAGCTGTGCCCTGGTATGGTGCAGGTGGTTAGTGACAAGAAAAAACACAACGTGAAAATAACATGCATGAACAAATATTTGTTTTAGTCAAGCTACTGTATACTTGAGCGTTTTTGCCAAATCCAAACTCGCCCAGGTTAAGTTTGCCCTTCACGTTTGATTTCAGCTGTTTGTTATATTGTTGTGTAATAATGACTGTAATGATAAGTTTGCCGACAGTGGAAGGCAAAAAGGGCAAAGGTGAAACTGTGACAAAACTTTCCCAGTTTACAGTAGTACTAATGTATAAGATTTTAATGAATGAAACAGGAAGTCAAACGACCAAAAACTAAAACAAATCTGTATTTACTGCAAAACAAAATTAAACAAATTAGTAATTATTTAATGGCGACCATTTCGAGTTCCTTAATTTTTTTATCTGAAATTGTGATAATTAAAAAACGTTTATAATTAAATTTTAACTTAATGCTTCATTCAGGGAATAACTTGATACAGCATTTCACACAGAACACGGGCTGGAAACAAACCACAGTAGCAATAAAACACTCATACATTGATATATAAATCTGTCTTATACAGAAAACTAAAACGTATTAGCAATAAATTGTTAACTCCCCCTTTTCAATGTCATCCCCAATATCCTTCAGTAAATCTCCTCTAGTCAAGAGACAAATAGGTTATTTCCCCTTAAAATGAACATAATATATTCACAATAATGTTCTTCCATAAGGTTTACATAAGAATGGACAACATATTGGTTTATGAAAAAAATAAACAAAAAATAAAAATAAATTTCTGTTTATAAAAAGTTATCCACAAAAAGGGACAAGAAATTTATTATTTGAAAAACAAGTTGTTGACAAAAAGGAACAACAAATTTATTGTTTATAGGAAAGTTATCCAAAGGAAGGAAAATAAGTTTGTTTATCACTTTATAGTGTTTTAAAACAAAACTAACATCTGCCACAAAAAATTTCAGCATTGACTGGAAGACAACTGGATTACTTCCCTTTATTAAACCAAGTCATTTTCAATCCTTTCTTAAACAACTTTTATTTTCTTGGAAAAAAGCAATTTTAATTGGTGCTTTCGCTAGCACTGTGAGATCTTCATATATTTTTGGTTAATAAAAGACTAAAAAATTTAAACATTTAAAAGTGAATAAATCTGCTAGCAAATCTTACAAAAGTGATGTTTCTTTAATATTCTAGCTGGTGTGAAATCTAAAACGTTCCCGTCGATGTAAAAGTGACAAAACTGGGTTTAGAAAGCATTTACATATTACAATTAATTCGGCATAGATTAAAACAACATCCTAGTTCATAACTGGGACACAGCTTTGTAGATTTAACTCTTTCAACACTGTAGACCATAATGGACTCATCCAGATCAATGTATGGAAGTCTTTTGAAGATTTATAGGGGTAAAAGGGTTAAAGTGCTGTGTAATGGATTGTTTTTCCAGTTTTTCTTTCGTTTGATAGAATGGTATGAAGAATTTAACAATATTCCAGTATTTGGCACGAAAACTCTAAAATAATTTATTCTTTACATGTAAAATATTATCAAGGAAAATAATCCAGCATTGTTTCAGATGCAGACACTAAAGGTTCACAAAGTGAACCCTAACACATCTAGAAGTATCACATAAGCATAGCTATATATAGCAGATAGGCTAAAGGTCTGGGCCCACTTGTATAAAACATCTCAAAGTTAAGGAAAATCTCAAGCAATGTATTGTCTATGAGAAATCTTAGACTTGAGGAAATCTCAAGAGTTGAGATGTTTTATACAAGTGGGCCAAGCAGGGTTAGTGAAGACACACAGCATGCTGAAGCGTAGTAAAAGATGAGTCCCAAATGATAAATGCTAAACTTGATGTATTTGTTATGTTTTTCATTTCTTAATAGAGAAAAAATGACTTTATTTGAAAGAAATCATACCAAAAAGAGCACTTAATTTGGATTTCAGTTCAATAGGAAAAACTAGAACGTAAATTAAAATGATTCAACGCCAATTCTTAATGACAATATAAAACCAGTATAAACCTGTCTAAAGTGAACCTTTTATAACTTTACCTTGGTGCTATCTATATTGTCACTAGATGTAAATTTAACCTGTTATTAGGATATATGTCTATTCCAAACAAAAACGTGGCTATGTCTGGCGTTCCTTTGGACAGAATTTCATTGTAGTGGATTCTTTAGGACAAATCAGTCATCTTTACTGTAGGGTGTACAAAAGGACAAGATATACAATGAGTAACCATGACTACAGAAGTTTTAATCAGAAATTAGCACAGGGTATTAATTCACACAAATGAGAATGTGACAACACGAGGGAAATGTACGTGGTTGTTATGGTGATACAGATGTCGGAAGCTGAGTTACAAACAAAGTTCATGATGTAAATAACAAATGAAATTGGATGATTGTCATGGAAATCAGCTCGACCAATCAGCTTCATCTACCTCATCCTCCTTCCTTTTCTCATCATCATCATCGTCATCATCGTGCACTGGTGTGGACGAGCGATCGTCTTTCTTGATTGGTTCCAGCACCTTGTAGGGATTCAGATCACGGTCCGACTTCTCCTGTTTAACAGGGAAATATTCAAGGTCAGACTATTAAATTACCATAGCAAACAGAAACATAACAACTAGTGTTGTTTTCCATAGTAACTAGGAACTCTAGAACACTGACCGGTCAGCAAGGGCCCCACTACGTGCCAGAAAATATTCTGAAAATCACCAAGCAGAAGCCACAGTAATCAGTTTGGATTTTGAAATATTTATCATGAAGCATTACAAGTGCATGTAATCTGATAATTACCCCCTTACCACACAATTACCCCTTACCACAAAATTACCCCTTACCACACAATTACCCCTTACCACACAATTACCCCTTACCAAAAAATTACCCCTTACCACACAATTACCCCTTACCACACAATTACCCACAATCACCCCTTCCTACACAATTACCCCTTACCACACAATTACCCCTTACCACACTGACCCTTACCACAATTACCCCTTACCACACAATTACCCCTTACCACAATTTCCCCTTAACACACAATCACCCCTTACCACAATTACCCCTTACCATGATTACCACTTACCACAAATACCCCTTACCACACAATTACCCCTTACCACAATTACCCCTTACTACAATTACCCATTGCCACACAATCACCCCTTACCACACAATTACCCCTTACCACACAATTACCCCTTACCACAATTACCTCTTACCACACAATTACCATTTCCACACAATTACCCCTTACCACACAATTACCCCTTACCACACAATTACCCTTTACCACAATTACCCCTTACCACACAATTACCCCTTACCACACAATTACCCCTTACCACAATTACCCCTTACCACAAAGTATCAATATCAGACCAACATCCCCCTAGCTCCCCTGGTTATTCACAATATTTTTTTAAGTTGGTCAAGGTCACCCATTTGCTAACACTTAACCAGCATGATTCTTACTGAATATCATAATTTTTTGCCTCTTGGTTATTTAGAAGGTAAAACAAATCTGACCGATGTGATTTTGAAAGTTAGTCAAGGTCCTTCATAAGCACAAACTTTTTAAACCTTATTGCACATCTACATTTCACAGTGTATGCTCGAGATAATCTGTGCATGAAAGTGTTGATGGACATACAAACCTGATGGATTTATTTTTAGTACCAGTGACCTTGACCTCTATTACACATCTTTATATCACAATGTGTCATCATGTTGAATTTCCAAAAGGATCGGTAATGTGGATTCAGAGAAAATCTCTGGAAATGACTGTAGACGGATGGACGGACAGACGGACAGACGGACAGACAGACAGACGGACAGACTCTGCATGTTAATATACTGGGCACCTACATCTCCAATGTGGGACCCTAATAATCACAGCTAGTGGTGTTTATCACAGCGACTAGCAACATAACAGCTAATATTGTTTACCATAGCAACATTAACTATAATGATGTTTGTTACCAAAGCAATTTAAAGTAAATGATTTTTGGAACAATCATGAATCAAGTCCTTAACAACTATATATGGTTTTTGTTAGGTCAGAACAAACACCAGTTTACAATCAAACTTTCTTGATCCTTTTTAACAGTTCATGGAATTCTTGTTATACAAAGCTTCACAGTAGCATACAATCACAGCACAATAGTGAGTCAATTCAAGTTCAAGCTAAAAAAAAGCAGTCTTTGCCTTTGACTTACTCTAAAACAAATTTTACGGCTAAAGGTTGTTTAATGCAAGAAAGTTAATACTATGAATTAAACTGTCAGAAAATTAACTGAATAGACATTTTGGGAAGGAATTATTGAAGGTCAAAGGCAAACAAACACATTTTTCTTGCCTCATGTAAGGATACATTTTAATGTTGGACATTTTAATTGCTATATCCAACAACAACACAAGCGTTTTCAGGTTCTGAAATATTCACTGTTTTTAAGGGACAAACTAGGTTTCATGCATTTAGTATCGCATAACACAGAATACAATTAAGGTCACATGACAGTCATGTGATCACTTGCTCAGGTCTATGATACGAGTGATTCCAACTCATGTCACATGGCAGGCAATTGTGACCTTTGTTCACACCTATCATTTTATTATCGGCACTTCTTATATATTAACTGTAAGTCACCCCTGTAACTATGGTTACAGAATCCTGTAACTCTGGTTACAGGAGAGGTGGCATGCATGTTGCCATACCTACCTTGGTATATCCAGCACCTCTGGGAGACCTCCTGTCCTCCTGGAACCATAAACACACAGTTACAGACAACTGCCTGTATCTCGAGATACAGACAACTGTATCCAGGTACAAAACCTGCCTGAATCCAGGTACATATTACCTGTATCCATGCAGGTACAAATACCTGTATTCAGATACAGTCACCTGCTGTATAAAGATACAGAGTCCTAGATAGAGCAGGCATAACCCTACCTGTATCCTGATACACCTGTGTACAGGAAGTCACCGGTATTTTATACTGTTTCTAACCTACATGCATACAAGCATTTTAATCATTTACAAGGATTACATACAATATTACAAACTGTATGGCAAGCAGTGTAGTGGTCAAAACTCCAAATACATGTATTACACACATATAGCACATGTGTATAACATGTGTATTACACACATATAGCACACATGTATCATACACATATAGCACACGTGTATTACACACATATAGCACACATGTATAACACATGTATTACACACATATAGCACACATGTATAACACATGTAGCACACACATAAAGCACACGTGTATAACACATGTAGCACACATATAGCACATGTGTATAACATGTGTAGCACACATATAGCACATGTGTATAACATGTGTAGCACACAAGTATAACACATGAGAAGCCCACACAACACCCCATTGTAGCTGTACAGTTCTGTTGATATAATTACAGTGTAACAATATTCTAGCAGATTCTGTTAGCCTACTTGTGTATGTAGCATACTACTAATCATTAGCCAACAGACATTTTTGTAGCAACAATTCACCGTTTTTTTTCTATTACTACGCAATATTTTTGCCTGAAATATGATCTCCAGAAACAAAGTTTTTTTGGCTTCGAACAAATGTTCTTAAATTAGCTTTTAATGCAGTAAAAAATTAGAACCAAAATATTTTCACTTTTGTAAGATTTCCACTAAAATTATACTTCCACTGATTTTTTTTCATATTTGCATTAAAATAAGTTTATAATTTAAACAAATCTGGAACAAAAATTGGGTTGAGATTTTCATTTAAATAGTTCAGCTCTAATTGTATGCCACTACAACAAGTAAACTTACAGTACATGTATATCTACAACACGATATTTCACAAGTTAATCACACACAAAAGGAAATACAAAAATTAGATCTGTTGACAGTGATCAAACAAACTTCACATCTAACAAACTGGGCCTGGTTGTTCACAGTAAGCCAAACTTTCAGAAATCAAATATTCAGAAAAATCTGAAGTTACACAATTATTTTTGTATTATCTGTATTCAGGAAATTGTTTTGAATCCCCAGTTTTCAACTCTATTTTTAGAAAATATAAATAAATGAGTTAAGCTTTGAACAATCACAGTCATGTATAAAATGTACCCCTTATAAAAAGTACCTGGATAATTTTATACAGGAGGTACATTTTATGCATGACATAGCATGTCCGTGGTGGGTAGGAAATACATCAATGGCATCATACAAGGATATCAATGAATTGGATTGGTTCAAAATTACAGAAAAACAAGAGGTCTATGTTTTTGTGAGATGGAGCTTCTGTTTCCTATATGATTATAAGAAATTAAAACAGACACTATAAAACGAAACCTTCCGGGCTTCAATACATTTGATAATTTGGAAGCCATCCTAAAGTTCCTTAGAATTTAGTCTTGTATCTCTTGTATTGGTTTGTGCCCAGTACTGATTCCACAACACATACACGTTACTGGAAATTACACATTCAACCAACAATATGAACAACATTTCAAACTGAATAATACTGAAATCAAAGAAAACTTGTGTGACCTTTGTCCTAATATACCCATAGGACAAAGGCCACAAAAGTTTTCTTGCCTTTGTCCTAATATACCCATAGGACAAAGGCCACAAAAGTTTTCTTTGATTTCAGTATTATTCAGTTTGAAATGGAAAGTGTAGGAAGCTTGTATGAGTTATCTTCCCTTTGTATTGTCCAGTCAGATTTGTCTTACCTTGTCATAGCCATAATCTTCCTGTAAATTAGAAGAAATGAAATCTTTTATACGAACAGTAACATAAGTAAACGTGCATGTTTATAAACCGTAAAACAGGAATGAACAAACACCAATCTGTCAGTGAGCGTCCTAGTCACTGATTGACAATACATAACTACATATTGACAAATCTGTCAGTGAGTGTCCTAGTCCCTGATTGACAATACATAACTACATATTGACCAATCTGTCAGTGAGCGTCCTAGTCACTGATTGACAATACATAACTACATATTAATCAACACTACACACTTAGATTTTGTGTAAATTACTTTGTACATGATTTTACTCATTAAAGTGACAATACAACAATAGTTTGGTATCAGCTAAAATTAAAATATGTCATACACTTACACTAAGTTAGAGGAATCAATACCAAAGGAATAATGTAGAAGAAGTAAAAATTTAGCTTGACAAATATAAATTGAAGGAATTGAAACCAATTAGAATTAGGTTTTGACCTCTGACCTTGGAATATTCTTGATTCTCATCTGAAGGTCGACGGTTTAACTCTAAAGGAGTCAGGTGATGGGGGCCATTCAGAAAACTCTCTTCCTGTGAGAGGACAGAGCAGGACAGAAGAGGTCAAGTTAGTGGACAGAGCAGGACACAAGAGGTCAAGTTAGAGAACCGAGCAGGAAACAAGAGGTCAAGTTAGTGGACAGAGCAGGACACAAGAGGTCAAGTGAGAGGACAGAGCAGGACACAAGAGGTCAAGATAGAGGACAGAGCAGGATACAAGAGGTCAAGTTAGAAGACAGAACAGGACACAAGAGGTCAAGTTAGTGGACAGAGCAGAACACAAGAGGGCAAGTTAGAGGACAGAGCAGGACACAAGAGGTCAAGATAGAGGACAGAGCAGGACACAAGAGGTCAAGTTAGAGGTCAGAGCAGGACACAAGAGGTCAAGATAGAGGACAGAGCAGGACACAAGAGGTCAAGTTAGTGGACATAGCAGGACACAAGAGGTCAAGTTAGAGGACAGAGCAGGACACAAGAGGTCAAGTTAGAATACAGAGCAGGACACAAGAGGTCAAGATAGAGGACAGAGCAGGATACAAGAGGTCAAGTTAGAAGACAGAACAGGACACAAGAGGTCAAGTTAGTGGACAGAGCAGGACACAAGAGGTCAAACTAGTTTTAAGACAGAGATGTATGTGCAAAACATGAGGTCAAAATAAACAGAGCTCTGTTTGTGACACAAGAGGTAAAGTTTTGGGAATAGCATCATATGTGTGACACAAAAGGTCAAACTAAACGACATACCTGAGTGTGAAACATAAGAGGTAAAGATGGAGGATGGGCAAGAACTAAAAGGACTATTGTCCTAAAATGTTGCATTATAACTTATAAAAAAAAGTTTTGAAAACTTCTAGGGATTAAATTGTTTACATTATGCCTTCAAAGCTTGATTCCATCTTTCTGTATCTTTCAACAGATCTTACAGCTATGATTGACCTTTGACCTACCTCAACTTCCTCAGCCTTGACCTGGTCAATGGGAAGGTCAGTCTTAGTGTCCTTGGTTTCCCGGACCTCCTTTGCACCCTTCGTTGTTTTGTTTTCTTTCTTGGCTCGGAAAACACTTGAGTTATCTGAAACAGATAAAGAGTGAAGCTTCCATATGATCCCTGTCTTTCTTACTCTATAATCCTTCCTTTTTATCTTATAATAAAACCATAGCAATAAATGTCATTATTTTGACAATGTTTCACATATTTATATATTGTCTGAAGAAGATGTTTCAGTTCCTATTTTTGATAACATTTATATTTTCGAACTACCAAAACAGGTCCAAGTAGTGTGAGCAATCAATTACTCCATGTTGCTGTCATTCACCTTGACACCTACACTTGACCCTGACACTTGACCCCTACACTACAACTTGACCCTGAACCCTGAACTTTACCTAATTCCTCACTGACACTGTAAATGACCTTCGGTGGTCGGGTGGCATAATGGATAGCGCATTCGTCTTTCACAAAGACGGCTGGGGTACGGGGTACACTTCCCCGATCGGACGTGAAAAGGTACCACATTGGTTTTATTTTGGTCTCCAGTTTTCTCCCACATAAAGTCAATCACCTGTACTTTGATTTGGTAAGGTTCAAATGTGACTGTAGGGGTGAATGGGTTAAGACCCTTCGCATGCTCCCATCTGGGCCAACAAGAGTTATTAAGTTGCAACAGCTTGCTCATAATTGTTTCAAAATAAATAAACTTTATTTAGATTTTAAATTTAATTGACTTATAAAAAAGGTACATGTTTGACCCTTCTATTTGAAACTTTCAAAATGGAAATTTATCCTTAATCCTCCATACATTTTGTATGACCCTGAACTCAGTCCACTAACCTTGGTCGTAATCCACCTGGCGAACCTTCGTCTCCGGCGTACGTTTGTGCTTCACAGGCTTTTGGTGGACATCCTCATGGGTGTTCTGTATTTTTCGGCGCCTAGACGGAAATATGACAACAAAGATCAGTGTAAGGTGTGATGGGATACATGATTTAGCTCTGAGGTAATGGGTCAATGGCCCTAATACATAAGCTTAATGAACACAAGTCAAATTCAATATTTCCTAGTCCATCAATAAAGCATTACAATTGTCACGTTTTGCATTTGTTGGTGATCATAATTTGGATATCTCTGCCTCACTGTCGGCAAAACACTAGAATTCCACCGTGGCTTTGGTATACAGTAACCTCTCCTTTATAAAACTGTAGTGCAACTAAACCAGAACACTTCTGTTGACCAGGTAGCTGAACCGGTGAGAGCGGCACTATAAGAACTTGAGGTCCAGTGTTTGAAACCTAGTCAAGCGACACTAAGTTTTTTTAACATTTAAAATACTATTGTTGATAATTTTGTTTAGTCAATCTATTTAATTTTTTCATGAAAATCCTGTAAGGGTTGGTTTTCTTTCTAAAAGTGATTTATCAAAGTCATGCGAGAAAAAACCCTGTTTCCATTAGGCATATTAACAGTTTCAGGCCTTAGTATGGGCATCCTTAAATCACTGTAATTACATGTTATACAAGCAATGACGTAACAGGAATTTGTGAGATGGAGGTAGACAATCAGGTGACATAGGACCTACCTCAGATTGGTTTCTGGATGGCTGGCCACTGATTGGTTAGGAGAAGGCTTGCTGATTGGTGGAATCGGGTTGTGCTTACTGTGTAAATAGCAAAGTAAAGACATACAGATCTAGACCTAGCGAGCGTACGGATTCTGAGATATATATGGCAAGTTATACTGTACATATAATTAACACACATATAAAACAGTTTCCATTAAGCGTGTAACCATTTAACTAAAATAAGAAATGCTTTATCCAATGTATGTGAAATTTAAACAGATGTTTTACAATCATTTTAGGTGCATGCTTAAAATATCACTTTTAAGACTGGCATTACTTCATGGAAAACTTGTAAGAACATATATTTCAAAAATAAAATAAGAACAAAACGACATAGCAAATAAGTATTTCATCAAAAAAACTAACTATTTAACCAAGGAGCAGTTAGTCAAAAAGTGACAAATTACCCAATACCCACAAAACACGGTGCTGGTACAAATGTGTTATATCACAAAACACTGGTATTACACTGTTCTTACACTAAACAATATATTAGAATTATCTTAACCAAAGACACACGAGATCTCATCATTTCATTTACATGTATTTGCCAGTTTTGGTAAAAATCTGGATTGGATAGAGTCTGTTTTAGAGTGCCCAATACTACAAAAACTATTGGTATTGTGGTTAACTATTTCATACAGCACAAAACATATTGGTGTAAAAGCTTGCTAGAATAGACTGCACATAACAGCTCACTAGACAAGAGGCCCTGAGGGTCTGTATCAGCATCCTTGATATTTTTAAGCAATATTTACAAAATGATCTCATTAATATATATGGTTATAAGGATAGGATCTCATTTTTCAATATTAGGACCCAGACAATAAGTAAACAGGGGCCAGGTTGGACTAATTTGCCAATCATGGTAGTTAGTATCTTCATGGCTTGCGGTTGTATATATGGTTATATGGTTATAAGGTGGGAATCTCAACCATTCCATGCTATGACCTAGGGACGAAGTTCCCAGGAGCAAGACTGACACCAAGGCAAAATCTGGCAGAATTATTTTTTTCGTCTTAAGCAATTGTTTATATACCGGTAGTTATGAGGTGGGGATGTCACCTAATTCCATGTTATGACTGGCCAGAAGCTAAGTCCTAAGGGGCAGGGCCAGACCCTGTAGCTGATCCTAGTAGCATGGATGTTTATATTTATCTACTTCTTAATGTCCAGCATATATACATCAAGTATTTGGGTAGGATCTCAGCCATTTCCAAGATAAATATATAGGAACTAAGACCTCAAGTTGGGGTTGGGCCCCAGGGTCACATCCATTCTTCTCTAATGGGCTCCACTCCTGAACTTTGAGGGGTCACAGCTTCATTTACATAAATACATCTTACCCTATTGATATTTAAAACCAAATATAATGCGACAATCAGTACTACCATTCGAGAAGAGTACAATTTTCGAAGCAAATGCTTAAAATTAAGACTAAGCCCCATTCCTATGGCCCTAGAGGAAGCAAACCCTTAGTTTTATATACGTCTGTGTCCAATGAGAAGGATCTAAAAAAAAAAACCTGTGTCCCCTATTTGGCTTTGCCCCTCTACCCCCATGGGGGGGTCACATCATCCATTTAAACAACACTAAATCCCTTTTGCCCAGAGATGCTTCAGACAAAATGGGGTTAAATTGCTTTACCTGTACACAATGAAGAGGATTTTGAAGATTTACCTAAATTCTCCATATTGGGTCCCACCAATCTACCCTCAAAGGGGGTCTTACCCTAAATTAATACAATGCTGAGTCCTCTTGGCCCATTAGGATGCTCTTGCCTACAAACGGAGTAGTATTTCAAAGCTTTCATCTATCCCCCTACCCCCAAACGATTTGACCCCGCCCATCTGTAAACTAAACATAGGTATCACACAGCTTACTAGAATCTACTGCACTAGAAAGTATCGCATAATAATAGCATCCCAATCACACAAATCACTAGCATCTACTATACAAATCATTGGTAATATCACAGAGCAATCCTTCAGGCTCCCATCTACAACAATCTATGTTGTTATCATATAAAACCTTTCTGGCTGTCATCAAGCTTTCTGGCTATTAGCACCCTTTTTTGTAACAAGGTCTGTTTTTGTCCAAAACAGGGTTCGAACCTTGCAACTCTCTGCATAAAATTTAAGTCTGATGCTCTAACATTACTGAGTTGAAGGGAAACCCCCCACCCCACCCCAGTGTACAACTAAACATGATCATGTGTACATTATAACACAATAGCTTCCAAGGTTTCATTTGTCATGTCAAAGACTTAAACTGATATTTGCACTAAGCAAGTTGTTACAATATGTACACATTTCGTCTTTTCGTTTTTCCTATTTCCTGCTGTTTTCAATACATGAAGTCTATATTATTTACATAGACCCCCAGCATTGTGACCATGCTCCAGTTTGTTGCTGTATACATTACATTGAATGGTATCTTTATACTAGATGTAAGTGCCAAGACTTTGTTTCCTGTCTTTAACTGGTGCTGTCGTTATTTTCTGATATCCTAGGTACATACTGTATCTATCTACCAAGGTTACAGCACTGTTTACACATATCACACGATCGCTAGTCTACAGTGGAAATTTATTTAAACCAATACAATAGATTCTCAGGAAAAGATATCCTTCATTATATCTTTCTAAAAAAAATATGTATTCTGAACGACAGGTGGTTGAAGGGTGGTGAAGGGGTTGGTGGTGTTGGTATGGGCCGGAGTCTGTCTGGGTGTGGTAAGATACCCTGATAGGTTATGTGGAGTGGGAAGGTGAAGGGTGGGCAACTGGGGTGGAAACGTCAGAAAAAACAATCTGTTCATATGCTTATCCAAAACCCGATTCAGGCAGACAGGTGGGCAAAAGAACAGACAAATACTGAAAACACTAAATAAGCATGCACACTTCTAGGAACTAGCAACAAAAAGGGGGATTTTACAGTCAGAAATGAATTATTCATACTACAAAAACATGCTCAGGGTAAATGAAGCATTCAGTGTAAGTGAAGCATTCTGTGTAAATGAAGCATGCTGGGTAAGTGTAGCACACTGGGTATGTGAATCATGGTCGGAAACTGAAGCATGCTGGGTAAAATTAAGCATGCTTGGTAAGTGTAGCACGCAGGTTAAGTGTATCACACTGGGTAAGTGTAGCACACTGGGTAACTGAAGCATGCTTGGTAAAATGAAGCATGCTGGGTAAGTGTATCACACTGGGTAAGTGTAGCACACTGGGTAAAGTGAAGCATGCAGGGTAAGTGTAGCACAATGGATAATTAAGTGAAGCATGCATGTAAGTGCAGCATTCTGTCTAACTGACACATACTGGGTAAGTCTAGCATGTTTGGTGAGTGAAGCATGCTGGGTAATTTAAGCCTGTTTTTAAGTGAAGCATGCTTGCTAAGCAAGTCACAAATGCTGAGTCAGTGAGCGGGCATGCAAACATGTGTATGTCACCAGGATTACCTCGTCCAGGTGGTGGGTCTAGAGCTGTAGCAGAAAAAGGACAAAACAGAATGACAACATCTGGTTACAGGAGGGATACCGCTCATACACTTATACAGTTTAACCTCATATACAATCTGGTTACAGGAGGGATACCACTCATACACTTATACAGTTTAACCTAATCTACAATCTGGCAGGTACCACTTATAGTGAAAATACAATGGATTACATGCACTGCAATATATACGCTGTAACACAGCTGTAACACAAACAATGTATATATTGCAGTGCATGTAATCCATTGTATTTTCCCTATAAGTGCTACCTGCCAGATTGTATATAAGGTTAAACTGTAGAAGTGTATGAGCGGTATCCCTCCTGTAACCTTATATACAATCTGGTTACAGGAGGGATACCGCTCATACACTTATACAGTTTAACCTTATATACAATCTGGCAGGTACCACTTATAGGGAAAATACAATGGATTACATGCACTGCAATATATACACTGTAACACAGCTGTAACACAAACAATGTATTAATAACATACAATGTATCACCAACAATGTATCAAATCATGTACCATGTGCTGTAAATAATTGTATTATACAAATAAAATACAATACACCTGTATCTTATACATTGCAAGATATACAATGTATCCTAGTGTAACATAATCAACACAATAAACAGTAGAACACATAATGTTACCGATTACCCTGTGTACTGTTATATACACCTACATCATACTTTTGTATATTTCTTCGTGAAACAATACTCATCGCAACATCAGAATTAATTAGGACAATTGTCATGACGCTGTGGTGTCAACACACTGAAGACATTTTTTTGTAATAAATAGAAAACCTTATTTCATTGACTTATAAGAACTTATACAGAAAACTGAAGAAAACATGTAAATCTTAAAATGATATATCTGATCGTTTCTAAGGTTGAAATATACATGCATATCTATATAACAGCATGCAGAAACAGCTAATCTCTAATCAGATCAATACAAAAATGGACTAGGCGAATCATTTACTACAGCAAAGAGAAAATGTGTGAAATATTCCACATGAGAAAAAAACTATAAATTATTCATATTTATATATTATTCGAAACCTGTGCTGCTAACATTTCAGAAACTGTAGGAGTCAGCTGGTGTAAATAAAAGTGAACAAGACAATGATTTTCAGATAACCAATATTCACAGTGGGCACTAACCTGTTGTTAGGTAACAACTAGTCCGAATTATTCTGACGTTTTATCGACTTTTTTCATATTGGTCTGTCGTCGATATTAATCGACGACAGACCGATACGAAAAAAGTCGATAAAACGTCAGAATAATTCGGACTAGGTAACAACTATATGCTACCTGATATACTAAAAGTATGTAAAGGTTTTTAAAGTTATCTTCCTTTATTAAAATTTCAATAAAAATAAGGAATCATTCAGAATTACTTAACCCTTTCACTGTAGACCATAATGGACTCATCCATATCAATGCATGGTAGAGTCTACTTAAGTTACATAGAGGTGAAATGGTTAAGCATTATCATAAAAAATTCATTCAATGTGTCACCAATAAATTACAAAATTATCATGATTACAAAAGTGTACAGGATTGTGTGTATGACACTTCTGACTTTTTGGTGTTGTCAATAAATTGCAAAATAATCATTCCAAATCAAACCTGTTAACAGAAGTGTATAAGAGTGACACATACGACAATAAAACAGAATCTTTAACTAGTGTTTAGGTCACCGATAGAAATAGTCTGAAATCTGTGTTTAAATTGATCCCTTGAAAGCGAAAAAATCTTGTTAATTTTGAAAAAGCTGCAGATTTAAAAAAAATAATCAATGATTGCTATTTTCTTTTGGACTTCCTCAGTAAAGGAAAATACTGCCAACAAAAGTCAAAGTAATTATTTAAAGAACTTCTAAACAGAACTTGTTAAAGCTATAATTATGTAATAGATACATGTGACATTTTTACTGTCGTGATTGTTGCTAATCCGCCTACAATCAAAGTGAAACAACAGCAGTGACCAAAGCATCACAGGACAACAAAAACAGCCTTTAATGAAGCATGTTATCACAGCAGGTAGCATGCTAGGCGTAATAGCTGTAAATAATGAAATCACAATATACCATAAATGTCTTCATAAGCACACCAGCGGGGAAATGGTAGAGGGGACATTTTTATCAAAGACCTGATCGAAACTATAAACCGGGGAACTTTTGCCTTTTTTCACCCTCTCAAATGAAGGCAAATTTTATCATGACAGCAAATTTTATTTCACAATATTCAATATATTGTAATTACATATGAATGCAAAATTAACACTGGGCGATGATGAATTTTATCTGAAAATGGTGAATATTTGGGCTATTATTTGTTCAGTCAGGCAAGACAGGATAAATCAGTTACTACTGTATTAAACCATGTAATGCACTGTGTCAAAGCTTTTTGATAATTGCTTAAACTTTTAACAATAAAGCAGTAACAGGGATATCTATGATAGGGATATTGATAATAGGATTAATGTCTTCTGATTCCAGACCAAATCAATTGTTTTCCTAATCAACCTTATAAAGAGAAAATATTCCAGATTAATTGAAGAAAACTATTTTTTTATAATAAAATTAATGTTCATGGTCCAATTTGATAAAATTACAAGCATCAGGTTTATGATCGTGAGACCAGCTGATGTTAATGGAATCCTGAACCATTAAATATGTATGATCTCAGGACTTACAGATGTTAAAATTTATGACCTTTTCACCAAAAGATGTTTGAACTCGGGGATGAGCAGATGCATGATCCAGGGATCTACATGTATTTCATCATGAGGCCAGTAGATGTTTGTGATCTTGAGACCAGCAGATGTTTGTGATCTTGAGACCAGCAGATGTTTGTGGTCTTTGGACCAGTAGATGTTTGTGATCTAGGGACCAGTAGATAATTGTGATCTTAAGGCCAGTAGATGTTTGTGATATTGGGACCAGTAGATGTTTGTGATATTGGGACCGGTAGATGTTTGTGATCTAGGGACCAGTAGATAATTGTGATCTTAGAACCAGCAGATGTTTTTAATTTTGGAACCAGTTAATGCTTGTGATCTTGAGACCAGCAAATGTTTGTGATCTTGAGACCAGCAGATGTTTGTGATCTTGAATCCAGTAAATGTTTGTGATCTTGGAACCAGCAGATGTTTGTGATCTTAGAACCAGCAGATGTTTTTAATTTTGGAACCAGTTAATGCTTGTGATCTTGAGACCAGCAGATGTTTGTGATCTTGAGACCAGCAGATGTTTGTGATCTTGAGACCAGCAGATGTTTGTGATATTGGGACCAGCAGATGTCTGTGATATTGGGACTAGCAGATATAATCAGTTGCAAGAGAAATTGTTGTAAGATTATTGTGTATTTGCTTTGATAACGTTCTCTAGAAACATTTTATATTTGGGGTTTTATTGAATTGTGATTATAAAGCCAGTATTTATGATGTATTTATAATAATGTAACAATTAATTTTCTTGGATGCAGAAACATCATTAACAAACAAATAAAGCTGTAATTATCAACAACATGCAACAAATTACCAATGCTATAAAACAAAGTCTAGCTGAAGCCATACCATGCCAGCCTCCCTGTTTTGTGACTCAACACAATAACTGTACCATGCACCCTCTAACTAGCCCTCCACCATGCAACTTTTCAATGCCAGTGGTAGAAACTCATCCCAAAAAACAGTACTGTTATAGGAATTTTGCTCATACAAAATAACACCCTATCCCTATAGTTTAGATGTGATTAGTTATGTATGTCTGCAGTTACCATGGTAACCTTTGGAATTAGATGTGATTAGTTACATATATGTCTGCAGTTACCATGGTAACCTTTGGAATTAGATGTTATTAGTTACATATATGTCTGCAGTTACCATGGTAACCTTTGGAATTAGATGTGATTAGTTACCAGTACATTTATAGTTACCACGGTAACCTTTGGTATCTAGGCTATTTACACATCTTAGTTTGTATATCAAGATACAAGAAACAACTACTGAACTGCAATTTTAAAATCAGTCGGCTCAACTGACCCTCAAACACACGGCATAATAACAAATTGAAAAAACAACTTATTCAGACTTGTTCTTGATAACGTTACAATATTTGTTCTTTTCAGTTACCCTAGATATATCCTTGGTTACCAGGACAACTACCAAACCATGTAACTTAGATCCCAATTTGTTAACCAAAATACTCCAAATGTTCTCCCCAGAATAGCAAATCAAGACTAGCTTCTAGGTAGTTTTACCTGTGTAGGTCTTGCCAGAGGTAAGTGCTACGCGGAAACCTGCAAACAAGAAACCGATCATCAATATATCAAAGTGAGGCTAACAGTCACTCAGTTTGACGAAGATGATTTGATGGTTTCTATGGTGAGATGACGGTAGGAAAGCATGCTGATACATTTAAGTCCATCTATTGTATACATATGAACAGTATAATTTTTGCTGTTCGTAATATTCCAAATTATTTTACAGAATTTGACAGTGAATAAATATGCTGCAGTTAACAGAAAACAAATAGAAAATTTGAATTTAACAATGCTCATATCATTAATTTTAAAAAAAAAAAAAAAAAAGGGGGGGGGGGAATTTCCAACTGCATCAATACAGTACTGTCAAACCCACAAAACAATATACTTGGTGCAAAATCTTTTAAAATCTTTTGTATCAATTTTCTTTAGAAAAAAAATGGACTTTAAAGTCAATACACTTTCTTCGTCAATATTAATGGTCACAAACAGTGCATAAACATAAATCATTTCAAACCAGATGTGATGGGTGATACACGTTTAAACCAAGGCGAGGAAAGTGCTTCAGTTCAAACATGGTCAGATAACTGATTATAATTTACACCAACTTTGGGAAGTGTGCATGAATCTTTTAAACCAGGGAAAGAAAACAGAGGATGTGAATTTGAATCAATTCAACTAGTGGAGATAAATGGAAATAATTTGAACCAGGGGAGATAATAGGAACCTCTTTAAACAAGAGGAGATAATTGAAAATCAATTCATCCATTGGGATATAGCTGGAAATCATTTCAGCGAAGGGGAGCTAAATGCAATTCATTACAAACAAGGGGAGGTAAATGGGAATTATTTCAAACAGGAGGAGATAAATGGGAATTATTTCAACCAAGGGGAGGTAAATGGAATTATTTCAAACAGGGGGAGATAAATGGGAATTATTTCAACCAAGGGGAGGTAAATGGAAATCTTTACAAACAAGGGAGGATAAATGGGAATCATTTCAAACAAGGGGAAGATAAATGCAAATCATTTCAAACAAGGGGAGATAAATGGAAATCATTTCAAACAGAAGGAGATACATGAAAATTGGTTAAAAGGTAAGGGGGGTAAATGTGAATCATTTCAAACAAAGGGATATATATACATGTGAATCAGATCAACAAATGGAAGATTAAAATAACAGTCATCTATAAACCCCCTCCCCTATAAGACACACTAATTTAACCTGATAATCCCCCCCCCCCCTCCCCCCATTTTTAACTACAAAATCTGATGTATCAAAGTAATCCACTTTAGGTGCAAAAGTCCAAGATGACCCCTGGCAGCCATACTGATTTTCAGATCAAGGTCAAAATCAAACTTAAGCAGATAACAGATAGTTCAGGTATCAATCTGGAAAAGTATTCTTTGTGCGAACACCACCACTACTGACGCTAGAGGAGCGATCCCTATCCCTACAAATACATGGACAGGAGATAAGGTGATGCTTCAAGTCGTTTGTGTCTCCTGCTAAGCATCACCTTATCTCCTGTCCATGTACTTGTGTCTAACCTTATCTCCTGTCCATGTACTTGTGTCTAACCTTATCTCCTGTCCATGTACTTGTGTCTAACCTTATCTCCTCTTCATGTATTTGTGTCTATGCATGGTCTGTCTATAGAAACACCCTCGCTCTAAATGTTTATTAATATTCAAGAAACCAGGATTTTGAACAAAAAAGTCCAAAAGGAAGTTGTTGTTTTTTTGTGGGAACCCGGGGGACTTTCATCTCTGATGACAGTGAACAAAGTCACAACAATTAATCGCTACAGAATGACTTGAGTAAATACGCTACAAAACTTGTAAACAATTACAGCTACTGCTTTGCATTTGCATTAAAAACTCAATTGTATTGAATTTTATAAAGGTGTCATTTAATAAAATTTATTAAAAACTTCTCATATTGAAGAATTCACGAGCTATCGTTGAAGTTGTAACCATCATGATATTGATTGCCATTGTATTAAACCTCTAGAAATCAGCGATGCCCAAAGTGTGGCTATTTCTACTTCAGATATGAAAAGACTTTTCAGCATTATCACGAATCGTTATCTATGAAGTTTATTTATATTACAGAACATTTTTTTGTAAATGTCGTGATGAAACAGTTGTCGCGTTGGTATGAATACGATATCTTAAACACATATTTACAATGAGTCCATGCAAGGTCCTTCATGGAATATGTGTTTGCCACTGTTACATACTTGTAAGTTGGAAAATACAGAAAAAAATCCTGATATTAATCAATCAATATTATAATCAATGTATAAGTTCTACTTATGAGGGATATATATTCAACTTTTGCTAAATGTTAATTTCACATATAAAATTTTGGATAAAGCTTATTTCAAGCAGTCACCATTAACTCAAATGTGAGTTATCTCCCTTGAATAAAAAAAATCTGCCTAATCAGTAATGAAATCATTCAGAATTACCTTAATGTAATACAAACATGTATTTATGTAAACGTTTCAAATCATTCATCATGTAATTACCATTTACATAATGTACCTTGAAGGTTTCCAAGAGAAGAACTATTTTTAAAAGAAAAACATATTAAAGTAAGGTAGCATACAGACTTAACAAGGGGAAGTAATTCAGAATGACATCATAGACTTACAGAGGAGATATAAGAGAAGCATGACATCCTAATTATCAGAAGGGTTTGTGTACACCACATAACATTATCTATAGAAGCAGATAGAATGAGGAAAACAAGATACATGACGGTGATTAGTGATCATGCATAAACAAATCGCCTCATAGGACTACATGTTCCCTTTCTTGCCAAACAATCAACTTCAGATTTGGGCGAGACTTTGGAGTGAAAATGTTTCAATGCCTCCTTGTTTACTGCACTTGCCCAGCCCAATGCCTCCTTGTTTATTGCCCTTGCCCAGCCCAATGCCTCCTTGTTTATTGCCCTTGCCCAACCCAATGCCTCCTTGTTTATTGCCCTTGCCCAGCCCAATGCCTCATTCTTTATTGCCCCTGCCCAGCCCAATGCCTCCTTGTTTACTGCCCTTGCCCAGCCAAATGCCTCGTTCTTTATTGCCCTTGCCCAGCCCAGTGCCTCCTTGTTTATTGCACTTGCCCAGCCCAATGCCTCCTTGTTTATTGCCCTTGCCCAGCCCAATGCCTCCTTGTTTACTGCCCTTGCCCAGCCCAATGACCAATGATGCTTACCCTGTGCCATAGTACGGGTTTGTGATAAAGTTGGGGAGGTCATGTCTCCTACAGCTGTAGGGAGCAGGTTTGAAGCTTTGATTGGGTGGGACAGCGACGTAGAACTCCTCCGGCTGGAAATCGGTTGTTTTTGTTACTGGAACTCCATTCAGGTCACAGACACTGAAAGGTCAAATATTGCACAGGGTTAATTTGATGTATACAGTGACTGATCAATGAATGCTTATCATTATGCTATCCTATATACATAAATATTTAGCTGTATTTTGGTTAAAATCATGTCACATGGTATGAAACAATTTCATAAAAATAAATTTATACCATTCTCAATATCCCATTTGGAACTTATCATACTTAGTATCCCTCACATAAGTTATCAAAAGTACTCAATTGGAAAATAATGCCAGTAACATTTTCCAATGGGAAAGGGACCAAATTGGGCCCCAAAACAGCAACAGAACAAGCCCTTATCATACCATACTCAATATCTCAAACAGAACAAGCCCTTATCATACCATACTCAATATCTCACACAAAACTTGCTGCACTCAATATTAAACATAACCTGTTAAACTAATGTTGTCCAGTTACCACAAAAGAAAAATTTGCTTTCCTCATTTTGGAGCTCCAAACCTCGAAAGAAAGTACGCACAAACATTTCATGTTATACAGTATCCTGTACGTAACTTAACTGCTATACTTGATTTTCAAACAGGAACCTTCCAATACTCAATATCCCGCAGGTAACTTTCAAAATTCCACATCCAACCGGGAACTTGCCTAACTCCCTGTCATACAAGGAACTTGCTTAACTCCCTGTCATACAAGGAACTTGCTAAACTCCCTGTCATACAAGGAACTTGCCTAACTCCCTGTCATACAAGGAACTTCCTTAACTCCCTGTCATACAAGGAACTTGCTTAACTCACTATCCCACAGGGAACTTGCTATACTCACCATCCAAAAAGGAACTTACTATACTCACTATCCCACAGGGAATTTGCTATACTCACTATCCCACAAGGAACTTGCTATCATCACAATCCCACAAGGAACTTGGTTTAATCATAATCAAACTGAGAACTTGCTATACTCACAATCCTACAAGGAACTTGCTATATTCACAATCTCCCTGGGAACTTGCTAAACTCACAATCCCACTGAGAACTTGCTATACTCACAATCCCACTGAGAACTTGCTATATTCACAATCCTACTAAGAACTTACTATAATCACAATCCCACAAGGAACTTGCTATATTCACAATCCCCCTGGGAACTTGCTAAATTCACAATCCCACTGAGAACTTGCTATACTCACAATCCTACTAAGAACTTGCTATAATCACAATCCTACAAGGAACTTGCTATATTCACAATCCCCCTGAGAACTTGCTAAACTCACAATCCCACTGGGAACTTGCTAAACTCACAATCCCCCTGGGAACTTGCTATACTCACTATCCAACAAGGAACTTGCTATACTCACAATATCACAAGGAACTTGCTATATTCACAATCTCCCTGGGAACTTGCTATACTCACAATATCACAAGGAACTTGCTATACTCATCATCCAAAAAGGAACTTACTATACTCACTATCCCACAGGGAACTTTCTATACTCACAAACCCACAGGGAACTTGCTATACTCACAATCCCACAAGGAACTTACTATACTCACTATCGAACTGGAAACTTGTTATACTCGATATCCAACTGGGAACTTTGTTATACTCACAATCCCACACAGAACTTGTTATACTCACCATCCCACAAGGAACTTGCTATTATCAGTATCCCACAAGGAACTTGCTATAAGCAGTATCCCACCAGAACTTGCTATCATCACAATCCCACAAGGAACTTGGTTTACTCATAATCAAACTGAGAACTTGCTATACTCACAATCATACAAGGAACTTGCTATATTCACAATCTCCCTGGGAACTTGCTAAACTCACAATCCCACTGAGAACTTGCTATACTCACAATCCCACTGAGAACTTGCTATATTCACAATCCTACTAAGAACTTACTATAATCACAATCCCACAAGGAACTTGCTATATTCACAATCCCCCTGGGAACTTGCTAAATTCACAATCCCACTGAGAACTTGCTATACTCACAATCCCACTGAGAACTTGCTATAATCACAATCCTACAAGGAACTTGCTATATTCACAATCTCCCTGGGAACTTGCTAACCTCACAATCCCACTGAGAACTTGCTATACTCACAATCCTACTAAGAACTTGCTATAATCACAATCATACAAGGAACCTGCTATACTCACAATCCCCCTTGGAACTTGCTTAACTCACAATCCAACTGAGAACTTGCTATACTCACAATCCCACTGGGAACTTGATATACTCACAATCCCACTGGGAACTTGCTATACTCACTATCCCACTAAGAATTTGCTTTATTCACAATCCCCATGGGAACTTGCTATACTCACTATTCCCCTAAGAACTTGCTATAATCACAATCCCACTAAGAACTTGCTATAATCACAATCCTACAAGGAACTTGCTATATTCACAATCCCCCTTGGAACTTGCAATACTCACAATCCCACTAAGAACTTGCTATAATCACAATCCCGCTGGGAACTTGCTATACTCACTATCCCACTAAGAATTTGCTTTAATCACAATCCCCCTGGGAACTTGTTATACTCGATACCCCACTGGGAACTTGCTATACTCACAATCCCACTGGGAACTTGCTGTCCTCATAGAGCTCTGTGTTAATGTCCTCCATAACATAATGCATCTGCCCGAGGCGTTTCTGCCGCAGTAGTACCAACACAGACTTGTCGAAGGGCTGATCATTTTTGTGGATACTAAAAAAACATTAAATGACTAATACAGCCCTTTAGCTCTATAATTCAAAACAAATGGACATATTTTATCAATAATCAATTTTCTGTGTGAATACATACAGCATCGAACATGATTTTCTCTTTCAAATCTGTGAACTGTTCATACAAAAATATTGTATTTTACGTGTTAAACATGTATATTCAAATATTTAATATATTTTGTGTGTAATCAAATACAAATATAGACTATTTTGAATTACTATAATCCAAATATATACCTAATACGTACCACAACCACAATACAAGTAAGAACTGTATTTTGTCTATATAGATTATTACAGACACCTATATAATTATAGATAGTGTATACACTTGTATGTGTGTTACATTACAGATTATGATATACATACTATATTCGGATTCCCGGCTCGCCTGTTTCATGGAATCGTGGTTTAATATCCTCATATTTGCTGTTCTTATTTTGTGCAAAGTTCTGTTGAAGAAAAAAGTTTAAAAATTATTTAAGGGCAGACAACTTTATTAAAGGAGCTCCTAAATACACTTACTGTATGGTGCTGATGTCTCGACCTACACTACCAACACCAGATTGTTTTAAAATGCTGCTATTTTGAGATAAACAGCTAGAAAGCAAGTGTTCGTCCATTCAAAGATATCCCTAGACTATCCTAAGGGCCAACAACATCTAAAGGTCCGGAAAACTGATCACTTCTAAATTTCAGAGAAATTCCTGATTATCAAAGAAAAAGAAAACTAATTAATTTTTAAAATGACAAAAAGTTTACTTTTGCTGATATATAGTCACATTTCTATCTTGATTCAATCCGTTTAAAAGCTTTTGTAAACCAGGAAATATATATTTTACTTTTCCTTGTAACACCAGCTCTGGTTGTTATGCTTAACCCTAAAAACCTTTCCTTCAAAAAGGTCAAAGTCAAAGGTCAGTAAAGGCTGTTGTGCATAATCATATTACAGATGCATGATGGGTTATGATACTCACCACTTAATCACTCTAGTGAACCTGATCTTCCCTCACAACCAATGATGGAATGACCCTTCTAACTGACAGAACAGTCCATTTTATGGACATGAGGGATGCTATGAAACATGGGTCCAAATATATGTCTCTTGATAAAGTCAAGCAAGATCATGCGTTCAAAGTCGTTTCAGGACAGTGATAAATGTTCATATGTTTCATTAATGATGAACAAAAGGATCAGACTAAAGGCAAAGCCTATGATAAGTGAATTTATATTTTGAAAAATTGGTGTTTATACTTTATCTCATTAATTTTCCTTTATTTTTCTATTGTGAAATTATGCTCTGTGAAATAACATTTACAAAACATTTGTGCATGACTAAATTAACAGTTTGAGTCCATAATGCAATTCATTTAGATTTGAAAATCAAAAAGAACATATCAACTATTCTTAACAGTTAAAAAGGGAAAAGAAAGTAAATCAAAAATAGAATTTGTAAAAAATAATGTACAGAAATTTGGTAGAATCAATATTTTCTACATATAGGCATCAGTGCAAGATATAACTAACATTCCTCTGGCAAAACAAAGGGGAGATAACTATGCAACAGGGGAGATAACCATTCAATATGAAAGAAAACTGGGTCATACGAAAAGAAGGCTTATTACACATAACAAAGACAATTATGTCATTATTTTATGCTTACACAAACATTCTAATGGTTAAGTTAGTTATACTTAGATGAAATCAAATTTCAAAACAACATATTCAGAAGAATTCTAAAGGATTCAGACAAGTGCTATTTTCCTTATACATGAAACTCAGCAGCTTTCTGTGACAACCATGCATGACCAAGGGATTAGCCGTTTCTTGTTTCCAACGATAACCATGCATGACCAAGTCTAGCCATTTCCTGTTATCTCTAACATTTGTGCATGACCAAGGAAAGCATTTCTGTTACCAATGACAACCATGCATGACCGTGGAAAGCAATTTCCTGTTACCATCGACAACCATGCATGACAAACTAAAGCACCAAAAGTGTCTGTGCGTAACACACTGCTTTGTGAATTCACACATGATGTTACTCTGTTAAAAAATTAACACAGTGTCAACATAAAGCTCAGACAGGAGTTACTATAATTAGCAACAACAGGAGATATATATATATGCTGGTGATGACATCCTATTAAAAGAATGATGAAGATCAAGTTGACACTTAGTAAAATTAACCGAGTTATAAAAAAGTGTAATAACATATATTGTGCCTGTACTCACATTTTCTTTATACCATTTACTGAAAATACTGGACTGCAGCAGACAAAAAACAGACAGTCACAAAAAATTCTGGACATCTCTTAAGATTTGAAGAAATATTTCTTTCTTGTTATATACCTTGTTATAGGTATATATACCTTGTTATATACCTTGTTATAGGTATATATATACCTTGTTATATACCTGTTATATACCTTGTTATATACCTTGTTATAGGTATATATACCTTGTTATATACCTTGTTATATACCTTGTGATATATCTTGTTACAAATCACACAGACTATTGTGAAGACTTTGTTAGCTTTTATAAATAAATATTTATGAGAAAAAAACACAGACTACAAAGAAAAAAATCATAGAAAACGAGATTTATAAATTATGATAGACTCAGCAATTTGGAGACAAATGTTACTGCTTTTTACTACCTAACCCGAATACAGATTTTGAGGAATACTCTGTACATATATTTATGCATTAAAAATTATTCATAAAAGTCAATGATCTTCTAGGTCAGGATTTTTTTAGCAGAATTGTGTGTACAATGACTCACATTTCTTTTAACTGCATCAACAAGTGTGTTTAATTTATGACAAAATTTTCCTATATTTCTACAGGAGCACAATTAATTATTATCATTAAAGATCAAAGCAAAAACATTCTTCAGTTTCATTTCCACCTCAATCTAAACCGTGTTATATTTGTCTAAACACTCGTTAAAACAGCAGAATTGTCTAAATACTCTCTTAAAACAACAGCAATGCTAAATAATTATACGGTATGATATTTTTGAAACAATTGTTACCAACATTGTCAAAACAATCGTAATTGTCGTAACAATTGTTACCAAAATTGTCGAAACAATTGTAAAACAACATTGTCGAAACTGCTGAACGACATTGTCGAAACTGCTGAACGACATTGTCGAAACAATTGTTACATAACATTGTCGAAACAATTGTTACACAACATTGTCGAAACAATTGTTACACAACATTGTCGAAACAATTGTTATACAACATTGTCGAAACAATTTTAAAACAACTAGTAGAAACTTGACACATTATATTCAAACATGCAAAATGTGATTGTCAAATGTGATCGCATGCAACATAAACCAATGTGTATATGTATATAATGTTAACCACTGTATGGCATGGCTACAATATAACCCAGCTAGTAAATTCACATGGCACTTATAGATAGAATGGAAGTACCATTGCTCACATTTTGATGTCATCATTATTATGACGTCAGTAGGTAGGATTCCACATGCCCTCTATGACAGATTTATGTTCTAATTTCATTGGACAATCGTACACGAAACGTTACTAAAGCAGAATTTTATTAAGCCTATATTAATTTCTTTGATATCAAAACACTCCAAAAAATGGTAAATAAAAGCACTGAACTGTTGATATGGCATTAACAATCTATATGAATGACACAGCTTTGCAGGCATATTTCATAATACATAATATATACGGTTTTGTTTACCTGCAAAGCTGTGTCGACGTCATTCATACAGAGTGTAAATGCCATATCAACACAGTTAAATGCTTAAATATGTAGACTGATCTGTCTAACAACTTTGTTAAACTGAAATTGACCGAAATATTGCCACTTCCTGTCACCTTGTGAAGGTGGATTAATCGCCAAGAGGTGAACCTGCTGGCTTTTCCTGTGTAGTTCATGTCACTCTGATAGCAGCTTCCTCAGTATTGTTTAACACCTGTACCTGGGTCAGTTACCTAGCAACCGTCATAACAATAATAGCTTTCAACTATTATAAAACAGGAGACTTTGTGGTTTTTATGGGTGAAGGTGAATACCTAGTGTACAGTAGTAGTTGATTGGCATATGCATGGTTTTCACTAGACCTACGTGTAGCTAGAGCCTTTAGGGAACGACATCGCCAGTAGTTTTTTTCTGTTTTCCTGGCATTCCCTGGACGTACTAACACTATAAATGACTACATTATAAATACAGGCAAACGTGGCACACAACAGTCATTTCCATATAAGACGATATTTTTGTTTTTGTTTTAGCAAATAGTATACATGTTTCCTTAACCAGTATTTTTTTTTACCTAGAATCAGTAGTCATCTATGTCTTATATTACAGCTGGGTCTTGCGTCTGTTTCTTCATTAAATCTGTTTCTTTCAGCTGGGTCTTGTGTCTAACACCTGTGTCTTACATCTGTGTCTAACACCTGTGTCTTACACCTGCGTCTAACACCTGTGTCTTACACCTGTGTCTAACACGTGTGTCTTACACCTGTGTCTTACATCTGTGTCTAACCCCTGTGTCTTACACCTGTGTCTAACACCTGTGTCTTACCCCTGTGTCTTACACCTGTGTCTAACACCTGTGTCTTACACCTGTGTCTTCCACCTGTGTCTAACACCTGTGTCTTACCCCTGTGTCTTACACCTGTGTCTAACACCTGTGTCTAACACCTGCGTCTAACACCTGTGTCTAACACCTGTGTCTAACACCTGCGTCTAACACCTGTGTCTAACACCTGTGTCTAACACCTGTGTCTTATACCTGTGTCTTACACCTGTGTCTTAAACCTGTGTCTAACACCTGTGTCTTACACCTGTGTCTATCTCCTGTGTCTAACACCTGTGTCTTACACCTGTGTCTTATACCTGTGTCTAACACCTGTGTCTTACACCTGTGTCTTACAGCTGTGTCTTACACCTGTGTCTAACACCTGTGTCTTCCACCTGTGTCTAACACCTGTGTCTTACCCCTGTGTCTAACACCTGTGTCTTACACCTGTGTCTTTCATCTGTGTCTAACACCTGTGTCTTACACCTGTGTCTTATACCTGTGTCTAACACCTGTGTCTTACACCTGTGTCTTCCACCTGTGTCTAACACCTGTGTCTTACCCCTGTGTCTTACACCTGTGTCTAACACCTGTGTCTTCCACCTGTGTCTAACACCTGTGTCTTACCCCTGTGTCTTACATCTGTGTCTAACACCTGTGTCTAACACCTGTGTCTTACAGCTGTGTCTTACACCTGTGTCTAACACCTGTGTCTAACACCTGCGTCTAACACCTGTGTCTAACACCTGTGTCTAACACCTGTGTCTTATACCTGTGTCTTACACCTGTGTCTTAAACCTGTGTCTAACACCTGTGTCTTACACATGTGTGTTACTTATACATGTTTCTTAATACATAAAATTAAGTGTCATACATGTATACCTGCATGTGTCATAGAAATTAACGTGTCTTATACCTGTGTCTTACACCTATCTTTTACACCTGTGACTTAAACAGGTGTGACCTAATTCAGCTGTCTTACACCTGTGTTTTTGGGTCAAATGTAATGTCTTACATTTCAGCAGGGGTATACATGTACAAAGACAGAAGTACATGTATGTATAAGATTTCTATGCTCATATAAATTCTAGAGAAATCCTGCAATCCTCATTCATATTGTTCAGGTGTCACACTGTAGTACCTTATAGTCGCTAGTACCTGATGTATGATGTATATGTATCTGTACAGTGGTTTGTGTACCTGATGTATGATGTATATGTACCTGTCAGTGTTTTGTGTACCTGATGTATGATGTATATGTATCTGTCCAGTGGTTTGTGTACCTGATGTATGATGTGTATGTATCTGTACAGTGGTTTGTGTACCTGATGTCTGATGTATATGTACAGTGGGTTGTGTACCTGATGTATGATGTATATGTATCTGTCCAGTGGTTTGTGTACCTGATGTATGTATATGTACAGTGTTTTGTGTACCTGATGTATGATGTATATGTTCCTGTACAGTGGTTTGCGGACCTGCTGTATGATGTATATGTACAGTGGTTTCTGTGCCTGATGTATGATGTATATGTATATGTACAGTGGTTTGTGTACCTGATGTATGATTTAATGTACCTGTACAGTGGTTTGTGTACCTGGTGTATGATGTATATGTACTGTGTCTTACACCTGTGTCTTATACCTGTGTCTAACACCTGTGTCTTACACCTGTGTCTAACACCTGTGTCTAACACCTGTGTCTTACATCTGTGTCTAACACCTATGTCTTACACCTGTGTCTAACACCTGTGTCTAAAACCTGTGTCTTACACCTGTGTTAGACACAGGTGTTAGACACAGGCTGTACAGGTACATATACATACAACAGGTACACCAACCACTGTACAGGTACATATACAACATACATCAGGTACACAAACCACGGTACAGGTACATATACATACATCAGGGACACAAACCACTGTACAGGTACATTAAATCATACATCAGGTACACAAACCACTGTTCATATACATATACATCATACATCAGGTCCACAAACCACTGTACAGGTACATTAAATCATACATCAGGAACACAAACCACTGTACAGGTACATATACAACATACATCAGGTACACAAACCACGGTACAGGTACATATACATACATCAGGGACACAAACCACTGTACAGGTACATTAAATCATACATCAGGAACACAAACCACTGTACAGGTACATTAAATCATACATCAGGAACACAAACCACTGTACAGCTACATATACATACATCAGGTACACAGACCACTGTACAGGTACATATACAACATACATCAGGTACACAAACCACGGTACAGGTACATATACATACATCAGGAACACAAACCACTGTACAGCTACATATACATACATCAGGTACACAGACCACTGTACAGGTACATATACATATATCAGGTACACAAACCACTGTACCGGTACATATACATCATACATCAGATACACAAAACACTGTACAGGTACATATACATCCTACCTCAGGTACACAAACCACTGTACACATACATATACATCATACATCAGGCACAGAAACCACTGTACATATACATCATCCATCAGGTACACAAACCACTGTATGATGTATATGTACCTGTATAGTGGTTTGTGTACCTGATGTATGTTGTATATGTACCTGTACAGTGGTTTGGGTACCTGATGTATGTATATGTTCGGTGTTTTGTGTGACTGAGGATAATG